GATGGGATTGAACAATGAGATCCTTGACTATTTAAGGATTGCACCTTCTTAATCTGGTAAGTAAATATCTGAGGAACTGGAAGTAGAATGAGGGAGATGGGTATTCTAGGCAAAAAAAAGCAGAAGGTTTCAAAGTACTGAGGTGCAAAACTAATGATCAAACCTTCTCAAGGGCTAGTAAGAACACTAAGTTACTTAAGTAACCAGAAAGGCAGAGAATAATCCTGAAGGGGTTGCAGAGGAAAACAGTCAAGAGCGGAATGATTCATTCACATGTATTCATAGGCACTGGAGCCTTGCAGTGTTCACGAGAATTCATAGCACCATCAGAATAAGGCAGGGGGGAAACGTCATGGCGAAACCACAAGCCCAACGTCACAGCTCCTGAAAGAACAGAGAAGCTAGAGCGGAAACCCTTCCACTGCAGTGAGCTTCCCCTTCGCCTCGTGGGAGAAAAGCACAGACGCTGTCTGCTCACCTCTCTTGTTGCCTCTATACTAATGTGCTGGCTTAAAGCAAAGAGGTTAACACCTACCTGCATGCGTTTTCTGTTGCAGACAATCAGAAGGAGAAGTGGAGGAAGCACATGAAGAAAAGAATGCTAAGTATTTGGGGCTTAAGAAATAAAGTCCACTTCAAATCCACGCCAAAAGAGCTAATACTTCACCTCTGGTAGCCCATCACCAAGGATTCAGACCACTGAAACATTGTTTAACTTCCCTAGATTAATCATTATCTCTGATTGAAACTCTTCTCTCTTTCTCTCCTCTCTCTCTCTTTTTGCAAAATGAAAAATATAAAGTGCTATACACTGCCAAAGAATAAACAAATCTGTGTTAGAAGAAGTATCATTCCAGAGGTAGGACTGTGGTGCCAGTGTGCTGGGCTCCTGACTCCAGGCTTTCTGTCTGCAGGTCCCCCCTGAGCTCCTGCAGCACTGCACACCTGCACCCTGGGCCTCATTTCATCCCAGTCCCAGGCCAGCAGTGTTGAATTTATGTCCTAATTTGACATAAATGAGCTGTTGTGCAGCCATTAATACCTGTATTGCAGAAACGTAACTTGCAATCCAGAGGCTTACAGCCTCCCTGGAGAAAATCTTTTCATGTCAGAGACTTAGAACTCTTGTAATCCCTTCTTCTCTAGACAGTAGATAAAAGTAAATTGCAATCAAAGATCTCTTCATCTTACTGATAGAGCCACTAATAAGCCAAAATGTCTGTCAACTTCAACCAGAGTGTGTCACACTAGTTCAATCGCTACAAGATGCTACCGTCTGATTGCTAAAGTTGAGGGCAAAGGAAATTGAACCAAGACAGTCAGAGTCAACATGGTTGACCTTGTGAGGCATTTAATTGGCCTCCAATGTATCCCATCAAACATTTTGGCTGGGAGCTGGGAGTATAGATCCAGTTCGATGTTAATAATGATTGTTACATTGTCATTGGAGCTCACAAGTTGAATAAGCAGCAAGACATGTTGGAGTCATTAAAAATGGGCTCTCTGTCCTGAATGAGAGAATCCTGAAACAGATCTGCCTATCTATCCAACAAAGCAAACAAGTAATTCTTGTAAGGCCTGTGGCTATGGAGGCATGCTTGACAT